CAATTAAGCAGTAATGTGCAAGCTGCAGCCCGCCGTCCGCTCAGTCTCTGTCTCTGTCTCAAGTCTGTCTTGTCTTTGCCTCTGGCACAGCCACTAGTGATTCTGCATCCTATCTGAAACACCAGGTACATTAAAGGATTGATGAAGTCTGTTGCGTCAGACATAAATATGAAACACAGACCGATTGCCTTTCATTAGGCCCTCCAGCTGGAGCCAGTCCACTTTCAATCAAGTCAATTCAGGAAATGGATTTTCTTATAAATGCAAACCAGATGTCTTTCGACATGAAATAAAGTTCTTCTTCAAGCTATACAGCTATCATTGGTAATAAAGGTATAGTTGTAAATAGGTGGAAAAGTAAAACTCGGGTGACAAAAAATAGGCCCAGTCCATACATTCACAACTGCTCCTGCAGGCACACCCATTGTATGTGAGAGTCGATAGCACAGCCAAACCCTGCACGCACACACACACACACACACACACAGCTAAAACTACACTGAAGCATGTCTTCAAATTAGACGGAGACATTCCAGTGACACAGAGCAGACACAGAACGGTCCTGTGTAGTGAAGAGGGCAGCAGCAGGGTGTATTTTTACACCAGATCTCTGACACCTACGTACATCTCTTCACAGCTCTTGGTGAGAACAGAAGACACGTCCACTTGAGTTGTCATCAGCAGCAGCAGCCCAGACATGGACAGTTGGGATGGAGGAAGAGGCAAAATGCAAGGAGAGAGAGGGAGAGATGAGGAGAGAGGACTAGAAGAGTATAGGTAATGAGGGAGACGAGTGTCAAGATCTTCTCGACGTGATGGCTCCAGCTAGTTTTTGGCACTTTCCTTGCAATGACAGCGGGTTAGGATGTAGACTATCACAGGTGTGAGTGAGGTGAGAGGATTGTCAGCGGCAAATGGGAACTTTCCGGGACTGTCTGGTTTTGGTGGTGAGGCAGCTTTGATGGTTGAAGGGATACAGAGGAGGATGTATGGTTTATGCATGTGTCTGAATGGATAAACAAGCTGAGCTGAGGATGAGAAAGTAGGGGAGAAAGGGGCAAAGGGGTAAACGCAGGACAAGAGCGGGAAAGAAGATGGAGGGATGACAGTGATTAGAGAAGAAAGGTTAAGGGAGGGAACAAATGAGAAGAAGTAAAAAAAGAGAAAGAGTGAGAGAGACAGTCAAGTCATGTTTGTGAACTAGCCTGAGTTTTCCAGGGGGAGCTGTCTGTGGTGCTGATGCACCTCCCCCACCTTCCTCGTACCCCCCCCCCCACACACACACACACACACACACACTTCCTCTTTTCCCAATGACTCTCATTCTCTCTTGTTCTCTCCACCTCAGCTGTTGATTGACAACGACTGAGTCTCTAATTGGCAAGTGTGGATAGGGAAGAGTCAGGCTTATTCTCCATGGGACAGACCAAGGAAAAGAGAAAAGAGTGTGTGGGGGAGGAGATGGGGGACATACCAAGGAGTAGAGAGAAGAGGAGAGAAGACAAAGATAGGTAGACAGAGATGGGGGGGTGGGGGGAATGGAATGTAGAAAGACATGAGGTTAGGAGGGAGGGGATGGAGGTGAGGGCTGAACATCTGTTTGGTAATCAGTCTCTCCCCTCAGTGCAGTGTAACACACACTGACACCTATTTGATAATTGGTGAGCCTCCCCTCTCCCTCAGCGCTTGGCTAAATGGTTGCTTGATACCAGGGAGAGCAAAGGGACTAGCTGTTGGCAGTGACAATCTGTTTACTTGGTGCAGCTTAGGTATAGATGCATAGCAAGCCTCCTGTGTGTGTACATGTGTGGCTACTGCGTAAAGCTTACAATCTGCTTACTAGTCTAACAATGAGCCTAAGATGTGACTTGTAGCATGCATGAGATGTATATTATAACCTCGGAGTAACGCTGTTTCATTTCATATGATCTCTTTTTGTCTCTTTTATCCTAGGTGCTGTCCTTAAAGATTTGCCTCCACACGGACCTCTCCCCCTTCCACACTGCAATCTCATTCAGGATTGCAGGAGCTGAGGGGGTGCACGCAGAAAAGGAGAATGAGCTCCAGAGCTGAGAGGAGAGAGAAAGGAATGGAAGGGGAGGAGGTGGGCCTCTTTGCTCCGGTCTCGACCACGGGTATTCTTGGGTTGATAATACAGATGTGGATGTTATTGCTTGAGAATACGCGTAGTCGAGTGGAAGCTTTATCATCTACAAGGGACCAAAAGCAGAACTCTATTCAGTAGAGTACAATGGCAGAGACCAGGCAGACACATATAAATGTATAGCCAAGCTGAGGAGGTGACACAGACATGGGGTGGTTTTTAATTAAGCACCAAGAGGTGGCTTTTTATGGGGAAAGGGCTTATTTTGTTCAATCAGAAACGTTTTTAAATAGAACGCAATCAGGGCTAGCCAAATCAAATCCAGCCACTGAAAAGGTTTTATCATCGTAGGTTTATCAACCATGTCACTCTTTACACCTGTGGAGGAAATTAGTTTGTTTCGCTGGCCAGATTCAGCCTCTCCTGCAGAAGGCGCTGGTGGGGAAGACTCGCAGCACACCACTAAGCTAAACCCCCAGGCATTAGTTCAGGGAGCTTAACACAAAAGTCTTCAGACTCAGACGTTAATTCCAAACCTTCTTGATTACATACCCTTGTCAGTCAGTCGTGCACACAAGTGAGCCTATAATCTTATCAGTTGATGAGTGTCTTTCATAGCCCTTCACACTCTGCACCAAACATTTTCCTCACACTGAGCAGAAATCTGAAGTTTGCAAAAATTGGTGCCAAAAAATTTTTTTTTGTGGGTCCTCGGACGTAAATGACTGCGAGGCCACGGGATGGTACATTATAACTGTGCATAACCATCATCCTGCTCCACTACCAACTACTCTTGCACTCCTATTTTTGACTCCCCGGCTCATGCTAAAAATGTGTGAGAGTTTGATGCCTGTAGCAGCAACAGGAGACAGTAACACATGAGGACATGTCAAGGCTTGCACCCGTTGCTGACATTTCAGCATTCGGCTCATCTGACTGGCTGTCATGATGGAAACTCAGACCCACACACACATATATACGTATATAAACTGCACGAGGGTTCACGTGATCTACATGCCAGTAGGGAAATGCGGGATTGATCGATTTTATGAAAACAAACATACAGATAGATCCCACATATATGAATGAACATTGCAGCTAGGTTCACTGGGTCCATGTGCCAGTGGGGAAATAAGGGACTGATTGATTTTATGGGTAACTATTTTTAGTCAGAATGATGGATGTTTATGTCTTTTATTGATCAAGTTGAGGTGTGGGTCTGAAGAATTCTTGGACGTCAGGGCATGCTGATTAATCAGGTAGCAAAGGTGTTGGAATAAAACATCCTGAATTACATTTTTGGTACATTAGCATTATTGCTAAGTATTATAAATTAGAAAATCAACATTGCATTGCAAATTCAGCAATATATTAGCATCTGTTTGCAAATGTGCCCATGATACATTACACTCTTATCATTTACTATTCCATGACTTCTTACTACTGCGTAAGCAAATCTCTTATTTATTAGCACAGTATGTAATTGTAATTTATACGAATTTCACACTGACGTTGTGTAAACTTGTTGATTGGGCAAAGCCATTTCTGTGGTTTTGTGTGTATTTGTGAATGCATGTGTGTGTGCTTCTAAGCAACAAAATGACTATTGTGAGCACAGCTCCAGGTGCCTAGCAACCGAATCGCTCTGTTTCCTTGGCAACAGTTGCCTCGCACTCACTGTGTGGGTGATTGGCAGCCTTGACAACGGAGACGGAGTGACACTTGACCTCACGTGCTGAATGGGAGAGGAGAAAGAAGGAGCGAGAAATAGAAGAGAGGGGGAGGGAGTGGGAGGGGACGTGCAGAGACAGATGAGAGACTAAGTGATAATCATTCTCCATTGTAATCATCCTCCAGCATGTTTCATAAGGCGTCGGCAATACTTCTCCAGCTGGGGTCCATCATCAAACGCAATACACAGTGCAGTGCGCGCATGCATGGACACACTCTTCCTGGGTGGAGAGCCCAGGCAGGCACTCCACATCTCATCTATTATCACTCAGCCCTGCCTGGTGCATAGCCTCGCTACACTGTGTCTTCTTTCATTTGTGATCTGCTACATCCTGTGCTCTGTGGGGATGAATGGATACTGGACTCCTAGAAATGTGTCACGGTCACAGATGCCACAGGAGAGTAGATCAGAAGCTGTTCACAGAGACATTTTACTTTGAAACTGGCACTGCCAATGTCTTTGACACCTTTGAGTTTAAGTGCTGTAATTAATGCAATGTGTTTTTGCTGTTTCCCCATTCATTCACTACCTGAAGGCTTCCCATTGTACTGTTTTCTTTCAACCAAAAAGCATGTTTTTCATGGCTGACTACACCCGTGTATAATGATGAATCAAAATAGGAACAGTACAAACTAAAATAAAAACTCTAATTTGGAAGAAATAGTCTGTTTTTTTGCCCTATTGAACTTTTCCTATTAAATATACATTATACTCAGCACCAGGCATAGTAATGTAAGCTTATTATCCAACACCTGTAGAAGAATTCATGGATGTTTTTTTTAAACCATTTTCTTTGTTAAATCTCAATTTCTTTGACAGTTCATGTAAATTCAAACTGTAATTCTGAGCTTGTCCCTCCATTAGTCACCAGATGTACAGCATGTTTATGTCCTGTAAGATCTGACCACTATCTTTGGTTTCCTATTCCCTGGTCAAAAAATAAATAAAAATAGAATTATTACATTCAACTAAACCAAACCAAGGTCAGTCAACAAAATCATCTTGATCACTAAAAGATAATAAAAAATACAGTGTGTATCAAGTTTTTAAACTTGTGCTTACTGATTCAACTGGAATTCTTTGTGTAATAAATAATACACCTTGTCTCTCATACATAAAACAACAGCGCAGTTACTTTATTATATAATAAAAAGAAAACCAACCAACACTTATTGCTTCTTTATTTCCAAGATCACACTTACCGAATTCATGTTTAAAAAAAACAGTTTGGTTTTAGACTATTATAGCCAACACTGATGGCTGTTGCATTGGAAAACAGCACCCAATAGCAATGCCTGATTTCCAGACAAGTGATTACAAGATTCTGTACATATGCACTTCATAACAAACAATTTGTACTTTGATTTTGTACTGTAAAACTTTTCTCTCTGGAACATGTAAGCTAAAAACATACAATCAACTGAAGGAAAAAAAAGAATGATTTTAAACTTAAATGAAAACTTTAAAACTTTTGAACGTAGCAGCTAAGCTTCATTCCTCTCTCCAGTGGAATGACCTAACATTGTGACACAACTTTCTTAATGAGGAGAGCTGTGGGTAAATATTATTACTGTGAACACAACCCGTAACATCACAGTGAAACATTCAACCAAGAAGTTCACTCCTACCTTCTCTGTAAAGTCTGTTAATGCAGCCTACCTGGAAATGTAGGTCCTGCTGCTGGTGTCAAGTGTATTGTAGAGAGCGTGTGTGTAGAAAACCCACTGTTCTCTGTTTTCAACCCGTTTCTGTCAAAATCCATATATTCACATGTCTGTTTCTCATTATGCTAACCAAAAAGATTTAACTTTCTATTGATTTCACATTAAAAATGCCAATATTGGAGCCCCTTATCTTACACTACATGCCTCTTGTATAAAATTATATTTGTACAGCTAACAATAGATAGCAGTTAAAGCAGAACACAACAACTACTACTTAAAGGTTTCACTGCATCTAAAGGATATTTGAGAACCATCCAAAAGAATAAAAAAAGAAAACAGATGTTGAAAACAGAAAGCAGAAGAATATCACAAATTAGGTAATACATCTCAGAGTTGTGGCTTACACAGAATAACAAGAAATCATAAGACAACAGGAACGCTTCAGAGACGCTTTGTGCTGAAGACCTCATAAGTGAAACTGCCGTTCACACAGCTGTAAAGCTCAAGTGACCATATGGAAACCTATGAATATTAAAAAAGGTCTTATAAACGTCCTCTGGCCAGCTTGATTGTAGTGGGCCCAGGACCACCAGCCACATCCTCATCCCGTTCCTGAGGGGCATCAGCTCCATGAGGGCTACTGATTGGCTGCTTCACAGGCATCTATCCAATCACTGTACACATCAACTGGCTCTGATAGATCTGAAGAGCAATGGATTAAGGATAAAAGTTGCAGAACAGAAAAAAAATAATGCGACTCCCAGAGTAATGTCTTGTTTGCTTATTATGCTGAGGCCAGGCAGCAATTCTCAAGCAGTAATGTCATTCTGAATTTATACATCATTCATCATGAGTAAAATCAAGTTCCTGTGTCACTATCCTCCAAGAACCAATGTATTTCTTTCACATGTCTCTCTTAAAATGCTGAAGCGAGTCAATTTTGAGCGCTGCATTAACTCAAACGATTGCTTTGTTAGATTCAAACAGCAATAATTTCTATGAGTCTCAGACAATGAAGGGCTGTCAAAGCCTTATGGGGGATGTAGTGGTTGAACTTTAGGTCATATTATGCTTTTGAGAGTTTTCCCTGTGCTTTAATGGGTTATATCGTTTTTTTTTTTTTGTGCCTGTAAAAAGGTCTGACAAGTGATAAAACCTTAAGTCTAAACCAAAAGAGAGTCTCCCATAGAAAACACTGCTCCTGCACTGCCTGACACACCTCATTTGTATTCAGCCTTTTCTTCCATTACAATATTACATCACATTGTAACAGGCATTACATATAAGCTAGATGACAATCCAGTCCCGCCCATTGAGTGCTTTTCATTATGCTAACCTGTCCCCCCGCTTCCCTTACTCACTTCCTTTCTTCGTGTCTTAGCTCCTCCCAACAAGGATGTGTGCGAGAGATACGAGGAAGAGACGTAAGGGCAGAGGAGCTGAAGCTGCCAAATGAGAAATCCTTGGGTTCATAGCCAGTCCTAAGTAAAGTTAAAGCTGTCAAACCGACTGGTACAAACTTCCACTGAACCAAATGTCTGTATGTCGGTTGTATTGTAAAATAAAAACAACTTTACAAAGTAAAGTAAGGTAAAGCAAGAATAAAATGTGAATAAATGACTGAATTTTGTTGAATATTTTCAAATAGTACTTAATCATGCCAAATAAACACTACTTCCTTTCACATAAAATACACCTATGTTTCCTTGCTTTAAAGTCCTTCAGAGGCCTCCCCTCTCCACAAGGTGCATTTAAGGAATTGGAAGGTCCTCCATGATGGTGGAGGAGGAATGATTTCAGGGTCACAGGAGGAGAGAGGACAGGAGGAAGCACAAGTTAGCATAATAAAAAGCACCCCTAGTGAATCGGCACCGTGGGTGGTGTCTGCTCGGGCTCATGGGGGCTGACCAATCATCGTTAAGAGGACGCTGTGATCATAAAACTATGATTTTGCCAGGACCGAAGCGCAGCAGCTTGTAAATTACTGCTGATTAGCAGGTAGTATTTCTACATTTAAATCCCTATTCTCTATGTGTTTAGGTGTCAGACAAGAGAAACAGAAACATACATAAATGAATGAAATTGTGAATTCAGCTGAATTAAAACACAGTACAGGTGATTGGAGCGAGCAGGAGGAGACTGAATAACGGGTTGGCTGTGTGTGTGGAGCCTGCCCAGTTGCAACTGGTTGTGTGTCAGAAAAGGCCGATTACACACTTGTTGTCATTGACCTGTATTTATATAGACGTTGTTGAAATTATTGTGTTACTGTATGAGAAAGAGGAAGTGGTGAGGTTATCTAAAATTCATGTGTGAATAAGGATACAGGTAATGGGGGTCTGGAACTCCTCCAAGCAGACTGTGCAAGATATTATCCCAGTATTTCTGCTCCTCTCCCTGTTGACAAATAAAGAAAAATCAAAAGAAAAGTTGACAACAATCACCTCAGAAGTCACCAAATACAACTTGATGTTCTTAGGATATGTACTTGGTGAAACTTTACGTACATTTTAACATCACATGATTTCTCGTGGTTGCAGAAGGGACAGGTGAACTGAGAGTCCAGATCTCCCGTCATCTTCTTCTTAGGAGGGGGCTTTCTTTTGGACTTGCGGCGTCCCATTGTACACAAACTAAACGAGGTCTGTGATTAAAGAGACAAACACAAGTCAGATTCAACAAAGGAGATGGTTGAATACCACCAAAGACTAAATATGTGTGAACACCGGACTACAAAACTACTCCAGTGAGCAGCCGTTGCCCCATACGGTTGGCAACCAAAGTTAACGTTAGCAGGCTAACGTTAGCATATTTGTTGTTGATCTCCAGTACAACATAATCGCCTCACGATAAAAAAAAAAGACGAGTTAAAATGAACTCTGGGAAGAAAACACATTTGTTTGTCCCTCAACTTGCCGTAGATATTAAACATGTCGCGATTGTTTACTGTTATCTAGCAGAAGTTTACCTTTGTGTGTAGAAAATACACGTTGCTGTTATGAGGAAAAGGCTTTCACAAGACCCGACCGGCACTAGTGACTGTTCGTGTTATCTGATTGGAGGAGAGCGTCTGAACTTCTCGGCCAGCCATTGGCTCACTGACCTGTCAGTTAAACTGATTGGCAGTGACGAAACAGCGTCCGACGACCATTGGTAATATTCCCGCGTGGTGGCGACAGAAGCTAAGGTGTGTTTCCTCTAAATACTCTCGTGTTTGATGTTTTGACAGGATGGCCAACATGCTGGAAATGTTAAGTTGTTAACTCTTTACACATCTTACGCAGTAAGCTTGGTTCTAATGGCGTTTGTCGTCTTCTTTACTCAGTGTTTAGTGTTGATATGGTCTGATAACGTTACAAATCACCAACACCTTGTTGCCAGTGACGATGAAGAAAACACCGTGTTAGCTTAGCTGTAAGTAGTTTTTGTTAGGTAGAGCTAATTTAACCTACTTTAATGTAACTGTTACCTACTATAATTCATTGGTTGATTGTATTTAGTATTAACAATCTGACTCTGTGAAGCAGATGGTAGTTAAAGCTGTTAAGATAAATGCTAATAGAATGACAATATTTGCCTCCAAAATATAACTAATGGATTATAAGTATAAAGTAGCATCAATTAAACAAATATACAAGTACCTCAAAATTTTAATTTACTTCTTAGTTACAGTCCAGCACTGAAAATAAATGAAATATATAATAAATAAAATGTTAATTATATGTTGCTAAATGATTAAGTACACAATTTCTAAGCCTCATAAAATAAAATAAACTATATGTTTACTTGTGGGACGGGATTATAACAACATTTAGAAGGGATTTTATGCAGTTATAAATTATTCTGTATTTTAGGACATAATGGATCTAAATTATGTTTTTCGTCTCGAGAAAAGCAACAAATCCTCAAAATTGAGAACATTAGTTGCTTAAATGGCACAAAACACACATGCAAAACAGATAATCATAATTTATGAGTCTTGTATGAAAATGTCCATAATCATGTAAGACAAAACTCCCAAAAACATTTTATGATCTTGTATAAAGATTACAAAGTTTGCATTACCCTACATTTTCTTTAACATTATTTTGTTCAGTAGTAAAAGTCAGTGATGTGGACGGTGAAGGTGGTCGGCCTGGGTGTGGTGGCCCTCTCTATCAGTGTGGAGCTGCTTGGCTGGCTCCTTCGCCGCCTCAGGCCTGGAAGAATCCTCAATGAGGTCCTCTTCTTTCCCTCGGAGATGGCCTGCGTGGAGCACATCTTCACTCCCTCTTTACCTCAGTAAGTGAAACATAATCGCTTTATTGAATAAAAGGAAGCTATATATGATTTTGTCTGTATCACTGTCAAGTGTGTTGTGATAATGGCCACTAATGCAAATATTCAAAGCCCCTGCTGTAAATGCTTTCAGTAAGTGGATTTAGGCAGTGCATTTACCATTCTTCATCCCAATTGTTTTTCACTTGACAGGACTATTCTTTTATCCACTGAATACATTTTTCACATAAAATTACACAGAGAAAACCAAATTTAAAGTAAGTACGAACAAGACTACTGGGGTTATGATATATTATTATGTATTTTTGTAGCTTAAAAACTGTCCACAGCATTTGTTGCTAAATAGAGCTCTTGTATCCTGAGAGTTGGTTTCCTCACTTTGTGGGCAACCTGGATTAGAGGTGAAATATATAATCTGAAAACACATTAACTAGTATAGCCCAAGGAAGACCAATAAATGATACAATAAGTAGGAATTTTCTTTTGTTTTCTGCTCTTCCAGTTCGTGTCTCTGCCCGTTGCCTCATGGCGTAGAAACTTCTTTCTCCCTTCTTCTCCAATACATCCTGTCTGCTTCCTCCTCTCTGGACTTGTGTGTCTTTGCCTTCTCCAACATGGACCTGAGCAGGGCTGTACTAGCACTGCATAGCAGGGGCGTCACCATCCGAGTCCTCTCTGACAAGGACTATGTGGCCATCACCGGCTCCCAGATAGGGGTCCTCCGCAAGGCCGGTAAGGGAAAGAGATCCATTTATGTCTTCATGCTGTGTTAATATAACAGTCAGTGTGATGAAGCATGTTTATGCCAAAACAAAACACAAATACAGGCCAAGGGGACATATTTAGTCCTTATAGAGATATAGTTTGTTAAAATAAAGTCACGCCAGCCTCTACAGGATCATTATCATCGACAAATTTCACTTGAAATACGGGAAGGATGACTCTGGTCTTACTCAACAAAAGGTGCTCATTCTGTGTTCTTGGACTACCAGAGTCATTGTCGGTAAGTCCCACTGGGTTCCTTAGTGGTGAATAGAGAGATGATAGGAGCTGTCTGGGTTAGTGGAGGTTGCCACTACAAGCCCTCCTATGAGTCAGAGTAATCATGCTCTTAAAGCTCTGAAAGATTTTGTGTCACGTGTCACACGCACACTGTCTCACTCCCCCTCAGCCCTCTGCATTTAATAAATTACTGCCGCTGCATATGGTTAAGTAAGAATTAAGTAAGTAAGAAATTGGCAACCTGGCAGCAAATTTCATTAGGCAAAGTGTTTCCAAGTGTATGGACTGCAAACCTCAATAGAACGACTTTGGCGCAAGGGACAATCAACTCCGGTTTTCATACTGCATCCTGCAGACACCGTTTATTCTCAAATAGCTGAATGTGAGTTGCACGTAAGCACATTGTTTCACCGTCCCTGGTTGTAATAGTCCAGAGTTTGTTTCCCTCCCTTCTCCCTTATGTTTCCCTCATAAGGAAGATATTCACTGATGCACACTGGCTCGGTCGGAAAGGGCAGAGGAAATTATCTTAAAGGCACATGCTCTGGACTGTCAAAACTGGTCACGGTCAAAAGTGGAAACACATCGACCTTTAATTGCCAGTTGCATTTACTCTTTCCCGTCATTTCTGGCCATCTTCACGTTGAGCTGAGTATATTTTAAAAAGCCAAAAAAGTATTTACACAGAGCAATTAGGGGGTCAAGAAGGGGACATGTTCACCCTGTGCTTGGAAGAGAAATGCTCAAAAAATGTTCTCCTGAAAACACATTTCTGGTAATTGTTTTTCAATTTTTTTTTTTTTTTTAAAAAGGGCATGCACTTAACCTTACCAAAGTAATAATTCTGTCTAAGCTGCTTCCCATTCTATACAACAGAAGAGGATCTGTAAAAGGATAATTAAAAAAGAAGAAAATAAATGTATTCGTGCCATATACTGTATTAGAATGAATAATATTAAATGTGTTTATATTTGGTTTATGTAAAATAGCTGCTGCAGTTATTTAGTGAAGTAGATTTTATTTTTGTTTCACCAGTTGCCATCAATAAGAGTACATTCACATCTGATAGCAGTTTTAGTAAAAAATTATGTTATTTATAGCTTGGCATTATTATTATTTTGTTATTCGTAAAACAAAAAGTGATCCTAATAAATATACATTTGTACTAAACCAGACAGGTGAAATAAATATAAAGGCCAAGGTTTCAAATAGTTTGTCAGGTTTTGTGTTTCACAACGGTCAGATTTATTGTGCAATACAATTTTTCTGTTCACACTGGATAAGAGAAATTAATAAGTGTCTTAAGATCAGGATAAAAACATTTATGTGACCTTAAACGTTAAGTGCTGAGTGTTGAAAGCTTTTGATGAGGGTGTTAAAGTGGGGTTGAATAGTAAAAGTGCAGAAGTTTAAATGCATTTAGATTTGTTTACCCTTCTATCTTACAACTCAGGTTAGGTCGGTCCATTAAGACAATATTTTTTTCTTTCTTAGAGGAGCTCCTAGGACTAAAGTGCGGGAATATTCATTCATGATCCTTACATACTTTTCAACAGTTACATTCACACAAAGCACCTTTTGTAGTATTAAGTCCACATTCCCATCCCATTGATATTCTTTGTGCACAAACCAGAATTGGTGGGAAGAATACTAGAGAAGATCACACATCTCTGAGGCATTGAAGAATAATCTCCACCCTCCTTCCTTTCTACTGTCTCCTCCGCAGGGATCTGTGTGCGGTGCGACGTGGGCTCTGTGTATATGCATCACAAGTTTGCAGTGGTGGACAGCCGGCTTCTCATCACGGGCTCCCTCAACTGGACGCTGCAAGCAGTGCAGGGCAACATGGAGAACATCCTCATCACTGAGGAGCCAAAACTGGTGCAACCCTTTGTTAAGGAGTTCCACAGGTTGTGGGCACGCAATGATCCGGCCCAACGCCACCTTTAAAGTACCCAGGTTACCACTAGAACCGTCAATATCCATGATAAGTATTGAGTCTGAGCTCATGAACCTTTGAGGTAGGTGGTATGTGTGCTAAAATCAGCGTGGCCACAAATCTCTACAGAATTTGATCCTGTTTCGCTCTGTTACTTCTAGTTTTTGGAAGACTTTTTTATGTTTAAGTGACAATGTTACTGTTAAGATAATAGATGATAGTTTATTTTGAATATTTTATTTTAAATATGTAACAGATAACTGTGTGTCATTTGATTCAACAGGCTGCAGTTCCCGAGTTCCTGAGTTCCTGTTTGATTCAGTTTTTTTTATATTTTACAAAAGTAATGGCCTAATCTTCGAAATTTTTTATATTTTTCTCTCAGGTTGACATTATGCTACACTACATTTGCTTTTTGAAATATCTCCTCTGAGGTGTCTTTCTTAATGGTCATTATGTAATCAATAATCTCTTACATGATACATTTCCCCCCTCACTACTAAGGGCTGAAGGCTAGGCTAGTCCAGAATTTTAGTTGAATATCTTTATTTGAATAACGATCCACAGTTCACCATGTGTTTAATTCTAGATGAAACTATCTGTAAAAACCCAGTGTATTGTTTAGGGCGTGCTACTGCGGTGTCAGGGACTATGTTTTGCCAAGCACCAATAAAAACCCTCTTTCACACTGCAGTTTTGGCAGGTCTGTTGCATCATTGCCTCGCAGCTGTAGTTTTTCTCTTGCTCCAACATGATTTACTCTGTCTCAAACTCACAGAAAAGGCCTTACAGCACAAATAACAATACCGCCCTTTTAGGTTTGCAAACACAAGTGGAGTTGATCTGGTTTGGACATGATTAAATGTGCCTGGGTACGTGACTCCCCTGCATTGCTCAACAGTCAGGCTGATGCTTGTTGATAAAGGCCCGAACTGGTTTGTCTTACTGAAGACTTGTAATATTTCAGCAGTTTACATCTTGAAGTTCAGCGTACTTAATGGCAATGTTAGACTTTACGAATCATCTGCTGTATTTTATCCACGGTAAGTGACCAATTTAACTGAGAGGTCATGAGTTGTGGTGCGTTGTGCATAACGCCTGCGCCATTCAACAAACAAGACACACACACACACACACACACACACACACACACAGTACAGCAGGGCCGCCTGAAGTTTACTATTGAAACTGCGTCAAGTAGCCAGTGAAGGAGAGAATAACACCGGAAATGTAGGTAGTTACCTTCAAATTAAAAAATTGGCATTACAAAAGATGAGCAAAATTCGTCAATGAACCATTTTACTTTTGCAGAAACAGATGATTAATCGATTGATGTTGATGTTTTTGGGGCGGTGGGGACAATAAGTTTGATTATTTATGAACTGTAGTGAGTAAATAGGTAAATAATTAAACAATCAAAAATGGCAAACATTTGCTGTCTCCTGATACTTTAATGTAAAACATTGCTGTTTGTCTCTGTTTTATGTAGACTAATGTTAAATTAAATATAACATTAATCTTTGAACAGTTGGTTGGTCAAAATAAGCTACTGTTGCCTGACAAGATGGTATGGACATTTGTCACTATTTTCTGACTATTGTGGTCTCAACTACCTATCATCATCACAAGATTAATGGATAATGAAAACAATTATTAGTAGCAGCTCACATATTAACATGAATGATTATAGATGCTATGTACTGCACTACACTTCACAAAATTAAAGATGAAAAGCAACAGCTCCTACATACCATATATACATATGTATGTATGTAAATATTGCACCGAACCTTGCAATAATCATGCATAATACAGGTTAAAACAATGAGAACTCAACTTTGCTCCAAAGTTGCTTAAACAAAGACAAACAATCCTACATATTTGCATTTACAGACGTGTTAAACAAGGTTTTAATTATCACACACTTTTGAACGCAAACTAGTGGTTTTATTCTGAAAGCCGTCACAGGAAGTGCCGTGTATATATCCTGGCTGACTTGACTGTGGTTGGTGGGTGTCCCGGTGACAGGCACATGCACAGTCTGGTGGAGATCCGGGAGCGGAGCGCCTTGAAGAGGAGCGCCCCACAGCAGCGTACACCTATCGGCTTTCTGGTGGATGTGGAAGACCGCGGGAAGGACGGAGGAGACAGACTCATAAACAGCTTCCAAAGGTAAGTGACATTCACACACTTTGCACGGCAGCGAGTTGTTTTAATGCCACCCGGTTGGAGTTGATCCACCGTATGGTAGGGCAGTGTAGGCAAAATAGGCGAACTGTTAGTTCAGTGTCAGCCCTTCATCTCAGAGCACTAACTTTTTATCTTTGTGTTTGTATTACAAGAATAATTAGATTAATACTAAGTGTCAACAAGTGTCATGATCCCCTGTATCTTCATACAATCAGTAGCTCGGTCTTGCGAAGTGCACACCCCATTTTCATTTACCACTGCCATTAACTTTAGCTTCTTTGCTCCAGATGTCAACATCTGCTCTTTAAGTCACACCTTGTGTTAAAACGCGGTTGCTTTTGTGGAAGATGACCTGTTGCCTCTCTGCTAAAGTAAATGCATCCAGCGATTTAAATCTCCATACACCATTTTGCACCTATTTTCATACTCGTGTGCAGGCGCATGCGTGGATGCTGGTCTTTTGCTGAGTGTGTGCAGCAGCACGCCGGCCATCCCCTCTTTATGGTCTTGGAAGCGGTAATGCTGAGCTGGTCTCCAGAGAGATCAGAGCAATCAGGGAGGAGTATAGAAGGACTCTCTGACAGAGGAGTGTGGAGGGAGGGAGGGGTGGTGGTGGATGTGTGGATGAATGGATGGTTCAGCCACCTCATGATGCAGAGAGATGGAGGAAGGAGAGAGTGTGGAGTGGGTGACATAGGGATGGATGATGACAGGAGGGATGCATAGATGGATGAATATAAGAGAGGGAGTAAAGGAAGATAAATGTGCGTATGTGTGTTTAAATGGGAGTGTCGGTGGGTCGATGAATGGTCAGGTGGGTTGATGGATGAAACACATGGAGGGGAGGAGAATCTATTGCCCCCTCGCCCACCACTCAGCATCCACTGATCCCATACGTTTTGTAACTCAAGTCCATGTGACAAATGGCCAGAGAGAGCAGTGGGTGACTGATAGAGGAAGAAAACAGCAGAGGGAGCAGGCCCTGGCACACAGCACAGGGATGAGAGAGGAGGCTAAGAGGGATGAGGGAGGAAGACGAGCCATTTTTAAAACAACACTTCCATTTACCAACATCAACATCTGCCCAGCTATTAGTGTGGATGAATTCCAGACATGTGAGCGCTCACCCTGAATTCTCAAATAGCTGAGATTCCTCACCCTGACATTCGAACACTTGAGTACTGTCTTACCCATATCGTTGTTCCAGACATCCAACCCTGCAATCTTTAAATAAGCCAGTATCAGGCCAGTATCAGCCAAGGAGGTTGGTGATGGAGCCAACTTGCACTCATTACTCATGTTGAATGCTAAGATTTGTTTCTTTTTCAGTTCTTTAGCTGCATGTTCTCGCCAGCGTAGTATACTTGTTGCAAGTATCTCTATACTACACTGGGACAGAGGTAACCCTGGACTTTGCAAGAGCTACTACTTGCCCCAGCTGCTCTGTTCCTAATTATTCTTCACTTTTTCAGTTGATATCACTTACATAATTCAATATAAAGTAAACATTTGACTAGATACAACTGGCTAATTCTCTGGCATGGATGTGATTTCCAAGAAGCTTTTTAGTTGTAAATTTCCATGTGTTTAATTGTGAATAATCAAATGTTAGTTAGCAGGATTCTACTCATTGCGTTAAGTTTACCTTGACAATGATCTCTGTTGGATTGCAACATTGCTCTAATAAATTAGATTTATTGGAAACTATCATTACAGTGTGCAGCTCTTTTGTCTAACTTCTGCATCAACCTTTCCTGCCCGGGGTTACATCTTTTTCTCTTTGCCTTTAAAGATATTTATACAGTATAATGTCATCAGTGGCAATGTACTGTAGGCCTTTTAAACTGATTGACTTATTATTTTCTAATAGGGCTGCAACTTTAATCTGCCATTTATTTTCTAGATTAATTGATTGATCATCGTTTCTATAAAATGTCAGAATCTAGTGAAATTATCCTGCAGATAATCCATCTCCAGCAGCCGGAGTTCATGTGATCAAATTGCTAGAAACTGTGGTTTACAAGATTAATGACTACCGTCATCGGTTGCTGGTTTTGTCTTATGTGAAATCTTTGTGTTGTTTGTCTTAATGTTTCAAAGCTTATTGTTTGTTTTTGTTTTATTTGAAACTTTTTTTAAGATGTCTTGGCCAATGCAACATTTTCAAATGTCTCATTGTCCAACAATCTGTAACTAAAAATATTAGATTTACAGTGATGTAAAACAGAGAAAAGCAGCATAACATCACATTGGAGAAACTGGAACAGTGAAATATTTGCTGCTACTGCCAATCGACTAATTGTTAAATTACCAAATTGTTTCAGCACTAGTTGTTTTATAATCCTTTTATGCTCCCAGGGTCCGTTAGAAACATTTCAAAATAACGTTGGATACTTGAGTCTGAAAGAACATACCTCTCCTCTTGTCCTACTTCATTCTACAGATGGCACTAGCCAAAGATCCAGGGGCGGGCCCCGAGCAAAGAGATGCAGCCGACCAAAACTTTGACTTCATGTTTAAGCTGCTGATCATCGGCAACAGCAGCGTGGGAAAGACCTCCTTCCTGTTCCGCTATGCAGATGACTCCTTCACTTCAGCCTTTGTCAGCACAGTGGGCATTGACTTCAAAGTCAAGACCATCTACAGGAACGACAAGAGGGTGAAACTTCAGATCTGGGTGAGATAGAAAAATATACTGAGACATTGATCTCTGAAATATGATGAAAACGTAAGATTGGTCTATTAATTTCAGCAACGTATAGTTCATCAATAACACAAACAAGTCTCTAATGAAATGAAACAGTTTGACTGTGTTAATGAAGGTGGAAGATTTGGTGTAGAGCTATTCAGATGCATAAACTGTTTTCTTTCCATGGACCAAGTAAGAGTGACAAAGAGAAAAACTAAAATAAATTGAAAACAAGAGTCTTGTAGGAGAAAAATAGCCAGAAAGAAAAGTAGTAATTGTTAACAAGCTAAAAGTTAGATTAGTGTTAGGTGTAAAGGTTTTGAAGAAGGCATTGTAACAACAAACCTCCCAAATATATGTCGCATATGTCATAAGTGATAATTTACAGACAAAGCAATATGGCTCTTGTAGTTTGAAACAACACATTTAAAATCAGTAGGTTTGGAATAATAGGATCCTTTATTTTAACTTGCATTGGGCATTTTTTACGCAAAATGTTGTGGCATTAAAAAAGAATCACAAATGAAACTACTTTCCTTCACCTTCATGCTGTCAAACTGTTTACATGCACATAATCTGGTTTCTCCTCTGCAGCAGGAAAGAGTGGAAGTCTGGCAGATAAGACCAGCACAACTGATGTTTGCTCAGTGCAGAAGCCGAGAAAAGCTAGCAGACAGTGTTACAGTTTGACCAGATTTAACTCTATTTAATCTGGCACACATGAGTGTAAAACCTAATGTGTGTAGTTTTGTTTCAATGTAGTGTTGCTTGCTTTGTTTTTTTGACTGACATTATGAATGGCAGACAGCCCAGAAACATTAGAATTAGTCACCTTGTTTGGCCCTGAGTTTATATTCTCTTCTGGCTAATTTACCTCTCCGCACCTTGAGCAGTTAGCCCAGGGCAAGTTCTATTGGACCAAAGCCATATATCTGCACACACACACACACTGTTCGTAGTATTTGCAAATCTTTACTGTGTATTTGACTATGTTCATGCCTCTGTAAAGTAAAAGGCTTCAGACTTTTTCCAATATTATAATGTTTGCAGAATTGAAAACAATATAGAAACCACCACAATCAAAAAACATTTACAGTTACATACCCAGATTAAAGTGGGTTTGCACAGAATTAGCCACCTCTCCCATTTATTACAGGGATAAGGATTTTTTTGTTATAAATAAAATTATCTGTAACCAAATTGATTTACAAAATATGATAAAGAAAAATTTAATTAATACACATGCAAAGAAAATTAAGAACTTTTTATGTGTCTGTGTTCAGGAAGAAACAAATTCCTGCATTGGTCAAACGGCCACAATTGACCCATTATATAATATATACTGTTTCTCAATTGAGCCCTATTATTCTGTAAAATGACAGTGGGGTATCAAATCCCAAAAACACACTGATGGCTGTATTATCATTCACTTCAACGAGGATTAAAAAAAAACCACAAATCTGTATGTTGGCCAACAAAAACAAGACTGAGAAGAACAAAAATGTGCCTAGTTGAGTTAGTTTAATAGGATTAAGGGTCTAGTTAGCCTCCAGCAGAGGTGTAAGTTTAGAAAGAGTCGTGACACTCACTCACTGAAGCCTGAAGAGTTCCTCATATTTTCCAGTAGAAAGCTGAAGAAGGTTTTTCATTCCCCACAACAGAAAAAAAAACACTGTACGGAGCAAACAAGTTTGACGGACAATATATCAGCAAAATTGAGCATAAAACGCTGCAGACTGTTTAGTGTCAGAGCTATAATTTACTGGGTAATTAACAGCATTTACCTGGGGCTGAGAGCTTCTACAACGCAGCTTCAACCAGAGGCAGAGTGTATAGGGCTTTTGAAAGACTGTTTATCCTCACCACGTTTCCTAGTTTGCCCTCTTTACACGCTGCTGCCTGTCATGCTTGTGGCGTAAACTAATTTCTCACAGTGTGGAGTTAATGACAGTTGATGTTTAACATCGTCCCCAGATGGCAGGGTTCATGAAAGATGCATGGGCTTGAGCTGCCAGAGCTGAATGTGCTTACTGCGCAGACTGACAACCAGGACAGATCTGTTACTAAATGTTAGTGGAAGGCGAGGACTCACCTACCGCACTCCTGTTAGATGAAAGTTATATATCCTTTAATTTTCTTCTTCTTCTTGTTCTTCTTTTTTTTTTTAGCTTAATGTATTCAGCATAGCATGTCTTGTTCGCTCTGCTTAACAATGATACAGTTGCATACGTTTACACAAGGAAGGTAAAATTGAATTGGTTTCATGGGGCCAATAATACCAGCTCAACACAACCATGCACCAAAGTTTGAGACAGTGGTAGCATGTCATGCTGTGACTCTCACAGTATGGCCTCTTCTGTCATATCTCCATCTTCAGAGTGCATGATGTTAATATTGTACCTGACAGCTGCTGGCTGACATTTAAATCTATTAAACTGTTAAAGGCTAAAGAAGATCTGTTAAAGATTAGTTAAAGGCTTATTTCTTTTTTTATTTAAATTTAAATGTATCCACATCAGTCATCTTTCAGTGCTGTAACAGTTTTCCTACAATCAGCCAAGAGCATAAAGAAGAAAGGTAACATCTTTAGAACTTATTTTTGTCCCTTAAGGCGTAACCGCAAAGCAGAGAGCACATCCTGGTGTATTTAAGGGTGTGGCAACAATCAACACATGATGGGAGGGATTAACTTCTGTTGCAAGAGAGTTAATGATTTACCTTCCCTTCTTAGGACAACCAGGTTAACCATTTGTTTCCTTCCATGTCTTTTATGTTTAAGGAATAAGTTCTTGTTGTTGGTTACGAGGATTATACTGTATGTGTTGTGTGAATTTAATTTTGTCTTTAACAGCAACAACAACAACAACTGGGATTATGTTGTTCCCTTGAGATTGAGATGTGGTTTAAAAAAAAAAAAAAAAAAAAAACAGCATTTCTCAGGTGTGTTGTGTTTTATACAGGACACAGCAGGACAGGAGCGCTACCGGACTATCACCACCGCTTACTACAGAGGAGCCATGGGATTCCTGCTAATGTACGATATCACAAGCCAGGAGTCGTTCTGTGCTGTACAGGACTGGTGGGTAGACCTCCAGATGTGACGTCATGCTGTTAAACCAGTAGGCTTTTGTTGGTGTCTATGACCTGGAGACAAGCTGCCCCTTTCCTATGTGTTTAATACACAAGACAATACTTGTTCCACTGCTGCAGTAACAGGATACATCAAAAAAGAAAAATAGCAAATAACCACAGACACATTTAACAGTTTTTCATGTAAAGACACACAATTTACCTCAGTCATTGTAAAGCATTTACTGTAGTTAAAAGTATAAAGAGCTAATTAAAAATATATATAGATATACATAGAATATATATACAGCTCACAGCTCTACATATACAGTGATGGATTTGAAAAGTTGAAATTAGCAGAAGTGTTATCAGCAAAATATACTTAAAGTGTCAAAAGTAAAAGTAGTTGTTGGGCAGAATGGCCCCTTACATAGTGTGTATATGATTATATACCTCATATTATTGGAATATTATTACTGATGCATGAACAAGAAAGCAGCATTTTAACTGTCTTAGCTGGAGTTCATTCTTACAATCATCACTATTAGCCTTAACTTGGGGGTAGTGAAATCTATAAAAATTAGTGGTTCTCAAACTCTTTTTCAATAATTTCCCCCTTTTTAAATATGTTTTTCAGCCAAGTACCCCCTGATGATCGCACAACATTTTTAGTAGAAACAAAATACCTAAAGGTACAATACAGTGCTGGCCATCATTGTCTGATTCATTTTGTAAAACACTTAAATGCTTCATTTCAAATGTTTAGAATCCATTGGCAATTTTTTTGTCATCCTGCAATAACACTAACTCAGCATTGATGTGTTTTTGAAGTTGCACTTACAATTTAGTGAGAAACATGAGCTTGTGCTTCACTGATGATCTGTTATTGTACGTTGCGCTGCAGGATGCATCATGTTTTGTTGATCATATGTTTTGTATGTAAAATTACCATTTGCAAAGTAACTTTACCTTATAAATGTAGCAGTAGTAAAAAGTGCATTATTTAAACTAGTATAAAATGTAAATACTATAACTAAAACTGGTTGTGAAAATGTTGGTGTTTCCTAGGGCAACCCAGATCAAGACGTACTCATGGGGAAATGCTCAAGTAGCGCTGGTAGGAAATAAGCTGGACTTGGAAGAAGACAGGCAGGTCCCCACTGAAGATGCCCAAAGACTGGCTACAGAGCTTGGTCAGTACACACACACACACACACACACACACACACACACACACACACACACACACACACACACACACACAACCAAACATCACTTTATAATCACTCATAACTCTCTCTCTCTCTCTCTCTGCTCTCTCCAGGCTTCCAGTTCTTCGAGGCCAGTGCCAAAGACAACATCAATGTGAAGCAGGTTTTTGATAAGCTGGTGGATGTCATCTGTGAAAAGATGAGCGAGAGCCCTAACGGTGACGCCGGTCTGTCAGCCAATAACAAAGGAGCTGACCTGAAGGAGGTGCCCCGCAGCAGCCAGGGTGGCTGCGCGTGCTGATAGCCGGCAATGGAGATTCATAGAAAGCGGGTTTCATAGGCCCACACACACACACACACACACACACACACACACACACACACATAGACACACATATACAGATTAACTGAATTGTCAAAGATCTATCATTGTGAATGTACTTTACCATATGTTACTGCAATACTATCATGGATGCTTGGCTCCCTTTTTTTCCCATTTGATCTTCTCCCAAATTGGTGGCAACTCTTCATTGTAATTTGAATATGACTGTTACACTGAGATGCCAAAGAGCTGCACCGAGCAGCTGTGCCTTTTGCCCGACACCTCCGCTTTATTCTCTCTTGTCTAATGGGTGAACGGCACCTGTTGCAGGTGAGGGGGCAAATGAAAAGCAATGAACCAAATCAGCATGGTGAGGGGATCACTGTGATTTTACTTGAGTCATGCTGACCCCTTGTGGGTGTTGCATGAAAATGCACCACTGATTTGTTGCCTCACTGTGTTTCCTGTTAATTTGCCCCATGTAATCCTGCTGAGGAAGAAGGTTCGTAAACTGTTTGGTTCAAAGTCAAACATACCTGAAAGGTGCTGTGTCATTCCAGGTCTATGTGTGTAGTACAGACTTGTTATTACTGTTTTGGAGGGATATTCTTATTTGCTTTTAATTTATATTTTTCTGTTGTTTTTTTCTTCTTTTTTTTTTTTTTACCTTTAATGGTTAACGCTGTTCCTCTAAAAGTTGAGATTAAAGATGTGGATCTGTACATTATGTCTATTGGTTTTTATTTGTGGGAAGTAATTAAATGTTATTTTTCTGTATTAAACAGCACTTTTAAATAATAGTTAAATAACATTTGATTGAAGTAATCACTGACGTCATACGTTTTATTCCCTAAGTGTTTTTCCATTCATTAGGAAATAAGTTGTTCCCAACATTAAATTGTTCATATGCTTGGATTGGCTCCTCTTTTTGAATTGTTCTATGTTTTGAGCTTTTTTCTAAAAGTAAGTCATTAGTGAACATAATTTTTATTATTATTTTGATCAGGAATTGTCTGTAAAGTTCCGGGTCATAACAAGGTTCTGCTCTATTTTTAAAAGGGACTTTGGTCACCAGGAAGTGCCGCTTACCCGAAGAGCAAAGTTAGTGACGTGTAGGGCATGAACTACCCTTTTTCCTTCCCGTGTGTGTGTGTGTGTGTGTGTGTGTGTGTGTGTGTGTGTGTGTGTGTGTGTGTGTGTGTGTGTGTGTGTGTGTGTGTGTGTGTGTGTGTGTGTGTGTGTGTGTGTGTGTGTGTGTGAAACCTGTGAGAAGATAAAGGGGCATGCAAGCCTTGTTGAGCAGACACTCCTGATTGATCAGACCTCAGCGGACAGACAGACTTCAGTGCACTACAGGTAGGAGCTTCATCCTTTTTTTGTAGTTTTAATTAACTACATGATCAACAACTAAAAACCTTTTACTTTTAATTTTAACACACCTAAAACACATTACAGCAAATGTACATATGACATGATGTGGTATGTTTTTTTCCTGAGAGAAAAGTAAGTTAACAAAGGTGTGATGAAGTTCATCTTTAATAATTAATGTTCTTAGTAGTAATTGCTTACCTGATGTCCATTACTCAGTCATGTCAGTATTGTCATTTTGTATATAGTTGCAGTGGTGGAAGTAGTATTCAGATACTTTGCTTAACTAAAAGTACTAATACCACATTGTGAAAATACTTCCCTGCAAGTAAAAGTCCTGCATTCAGCACCTTACTAAAGCCAAAGTATGTGTATTATGAGCAACGTGTCAGAATGAACTAATTTTAACTTCTTTACTGTTGGGTAGTGTTGGGTAGTGTTGGGTAGTGTTAATTTACTGCAATGGATCATAATTCTATAAGATCGTCATATTTTTGTAACGTTGCTGTTCTGTGAGAGCCACTTATCTCTAAAAAATCCACTTCTCAGAGCTCAGAAAAACAGGCCTGTTTTCAGCTTTGTGATATTTATTTATTTATAAGTAGAAGAATTTTCTCAACTCACTCCATCCTTCAGTTTATCAGAAAAAAATCCCTTTCAAAATCATCAAATGTTGAGGGTATGAAAATGTGTAATCTAAAAGGTAATTAGTAACTAAAGCTGTCAGATAAATGCAGTGGAGTAAAAAGTAAAATATTTGCCTCTGAGATGTAATGGAGCACAAGTATAGCATTAAATGGAAATTCTCATGTAAAGTACCTTGAATGACCTGAAAGTATTTACTTACATTCCACTGAGTAGTTGTCATATTTATATGTAATGTCACTTGTAATAATATCACTGTATTATAACAACCAAAAGACTGAATAAACCAAATATCATCCAACTCAGTTCTCTTTACCATCATGTAAAAAAAACTTTATACAAGCTTTATACAGCAGAGCAAACCAGCTCCTTTAGTGGTTACATTTCAAGTAACAGAGGTGATTAAGGAACTGTGAACTGCTTTTCTCTGACTTTTGAAATTGCATTATTATTTGTCCTGTTTTGCTTCCTCATGGCTTCCATTAACTGCATTCAAATAAACATCATGTGATTTTGCTGGTGTTATGGAAGCATTTTATTGCTTTTTGGAAACAAGGTAACAGTTGCCTAGTTTGTTCCCACTGACTGATATAGTCAGAGCTGCAATAAGGAAGACAACTAAGATCAATAGCTATAAAAGTAAACTCATGTCTGTTATACAAAGAACAGACAGTAGCAAGGTTGTGCAATGATAGGCACAAGGTGTTTTTTTTATTGTTCTTCTTGGCTACTTCTTTTGTGATTAACAGTAAGTAGATAAGATACCTTACCTTGACTTTACCGTTCAGGCCTGAACTCATCAGAGGACATTTGATTAATTGGAGCCAGATTATGGCAACATGTCCATGACCTACATACATGGCTCCTTTTAAACCTGTATTTCATAAATTTTATGGCATACTGCAAATTTAAGTTGTGAACACTCATACTGATATGGGTTATACATTTATGGTGAAACTGGCACAGTACTATTGAACTCTTTGTACAGTTCAGAGCTGGAGGAAGTGAATTTTTCCTGTCTGTACCAGGTGTAGTCCCATGAGTTTAAACCTGCAAACGTGTCATGTGACTCAAATGTGGGATGGATAATCCTTTAAATAACTTTCAGGCAAGATTAAAATAAAAACTAAAGTGTGGATATGAACTAGCAACACACCAACCGAAACCTTGTATTACGTCAGCTTGAAACACTTTTTATTTATTTAAAGGAGATTAAGACCCCTTCTGTTTTCCTGCCAGTTACTGTGGTTAATGACTAACCAAAGCAAATACCTTTCGACCCATGTTGCTTGTGTTGTAAGCCATCCCCATGCCATTGATTTTCCTATGAGGCAAAATGCAAACCTGTCCATTTTACTAAAATCCCTATAGCGAATAAAGAAGGAAGTGTGAATAATTATACAGTAATTTAGTTCGCTGCTAAACTAATAAAAAAATGTGTTCTCTTTTTCAACAGTGTGGAAAACAAAAACAGCCAAGATGTGTTGCTCCAGCTTTCTCAAAATTATGATGTTTATCTTCAATGGCGGCATCTTTGTAAGTTGGAAAAAAGAAAGCTACTTATTTTCTGTATTTCTTGTATGGTTCCACAAGAAAACAGACTATATATATACATGCTTGAGATCAAGCTATAACCAGGAGACAGATAGTTTAACTTAGTTTATATGAATCATTTTTACACTTTGGTTTTTGTACAGATGAAACAAGCAAGATATAACATATCAATTAATGAGCTTTAGAGGTGAGGCTAGGTGCATTTTACTACATTTGAAAAGATCCAAGCTAGCTGTTTTGTCCTATTTCCTCTCTTTATGCTAAGCTAAGCTAACTGGCATCTGTCTGTAGCTTCATATTTAACGTACAGACATACGGATATTAGGATATTAATCTTCTTATCTAATTCTTGGATAGAAAGCTAAGAAGCATATTTCCACAACATATTCTAAATAATTCTCCGGCTGAACTCCTGCTCACCTGCAAATGAATTCTCAAATCTGTGGTTCAAACTTTCATCAGTATGTTTTTTAGCAACTTTAGTGTCAGAATGACTTTTAAGAATCTCTCTTAGCTCCTTTCACCATGTCACCCGTACTATATCATCAATATTTGATATATTATACCATTATTTGTGCACGCTTTAATGCAATTTCCATTCTCTACTTTATTCTCTCCATTCTTTCCTCATCCATCATGCAGGTGGCAGGTGCAGCCATCCTGGGTGTGGGAGTGTGGGTGAAGGTGGACAGTGGTTCTCTGCTGGGTTTACTGGATAACGTGGAAGACATTCCATCTGGGTTATCCCAGCTGGTCAACGTCAGCTACCTGCTCATTGCAGTGGGTGCTGTGTTGTTGGTAATTGGCTTCCTGGGCTGCTGCGGAGCGGTCAGGGAGAGCAGGTGTATGCTGCTAACGGTAAGCCATGTTTGATATGTCAGCTTCAGCTCAAGAGCTCAACAGACTGAAGAAATTAATAATAAATAATAATACATTGTATTTATAGAGTGCTTTTCATGATACTCAAAAAGACTCTTTACATAAGTTAAAATCCTTATCAAACAACGCACTAAAAATATACAACACACAACATGAATCACGTGTTAAAAGCAGTGAGTTTTTAATTCATTTAATAAAGCACGCCATTTAATTTTTGGAACAAATGTGCAGAACATTATTATTATTATTATTATTATTATTATATATTGTTGTTATTGTTATTTACTTAGGTAGGGATACAGTGAGTGACTTTTACATTTATCATTTTCTCCCCATTCAGTTCTTCAGCATCGTGCTGATTATCTTCCTCGTCGAGGTTGCAGGGGCTGTGGTGCTGCTCGTCTTCCAGGATGTGGTAAGTGGCTCTCAAAAGCAAAACAATATCTACTCAGCAATAATTGCCAGTGGTCAGATCTGGAAATTTGAAAAGCCCAAAAGAACTTTTCTGAAATTGTACCACACAAGTACAATGATTGTCAACTTGTTCTTCTCAGGCTGATCAGCTTCTTGGAAGTCTGGAGGATGAAGTTAAAAGAAGCATTCAAAAAGACTATGGAAGCAGTGAAAGTCTGACCTCTCTCTGGAACGCCACAATGGAGCAGGTATGTGTTTGTGCTGATAAGACCATTGAGCTGTTTTTGGTAAGATTTGGGATTAACACTTTGTGGTTCTGTTCTAGTTTAAGTGCTGTGGATACAGGAACTTCACAGACTTTGAAGGATCCCCTTATAACATTGAACATGGAGGGAATGCTTATCCACCCATCTGTTGCAATGCAACCTACATTGATAATGTATGCAGTGAAAAAGGCGCATTGCATTCGGTATGAGACTAAGTTACCTTTGGTTTAACTTCATGCAACAAAACCGTTAACTGTGAGTACAACAGTAATTCTATATCTTTGCTAAAACCTGTTGTTTCTCTTCCAGGATATTGATGGCTGCTTTGAAAAGCTGCTGCACCTGATAGAGGATAACGCTGTCATCATTGCAGCTGTGGCTCTAGCAATTGCTGCTCTCGAGGTACAGAAAACCATGCCAAACAGCCCAAGTTGTTAACACTTTTTTAAGCCACCAGTCGAGAAGAGTGCTGGGTACTCTGGCCACATAGTTTGTTTTTATAGAGTGGTATTTGAACAAAATATCTTAAGAATTGTCATCAGCGCTTTAATGTAGCAATAATTCATATTTTTATAATCCTAACAACAACAATACAGAAAATGATCACCTTTACGGAGCTGTATAGTGAGTTTCAGCTCATTGTTTAGCTGTCCAACGCCAAACAGCAGACAGACACTGTTAGAGACTATATACTATGGCCTGTTTATACTATAGCCAAATATAAAAGCATAACTAAGTTTCATTGCTTCAAATCATGATTTTGATTCACACCACTTGTGTTAACTCAAGTGTGAATTAACTTCTAGAGGAATGGGAAAGAGTTTCAGTGATATTAATTAACGGCAAGCCATAAATTGTTTTTGTTGTCATATCAGCAATTTTACCTATAATTGGTCATAATGCCACCAAACACAGCAGAATAATAAAGAATAGTCCAGTTATCATCTCTGGAACCCTACATTTCAATCTAACATCAATATAATTTTAATTTATTTAACTAATAAACATGAAAATAATTCAGTAGTGACACAGTGCATGGCTTTTCAGAAATTTGTAATTCTACAGAATACAGTATTTCTCACAGAATTGTATTAACTTGTAAAGTCTATAAGCAACATTTCAGATCCATTACACTGTGTTTAGATGATGTGTTGATGAATTTTTGTCTTTACAGATTGCTGCCATGGTGGTTTCGATGGTTCTCTACAAGAACATTGGCAACAAGGCGTAATGTTTCCTGTTTGAGATGAGATAATTGTAATAGGTGAAGAAATTGAAGAAGAAAAAATACTTGTGAGCAGATTTTTATGTATAAGGTTTTTTTATTTGATTCAAAACAGACAGGTTAAGATTTAAGATGTGCTCTACATTACTGGCATGAGCATTAAAATCAAAGACAGAAAGTTCATCAATGGAGCTGATGTGTTCTTAGTTTCAAAACTGTATCTGTACACATTTATACTGTGAAATATTTATGTTTTAAGAAGGGCTGTTGTAAAATTGTATGTGCTGATACATACTGTATAGCTAGTGTGTAATGATGCACAGGTCAGAAACAATCTGCATGAGTTGTGTCAGTTGTTTATGTCCCTCACATTCACTGCAGTAATATAATCATTTTATTTTTGTATGTTTGATCATAAATATCAGACTTTTATTTATGCATTGATTCTGCCTATTTTCACAGGCATGCTTCCATATGTTCATTTGGTAAACATCATCATGTGATATTCAAATGCATGCTTGTTTAGTAAAACTATGTCAGATGATAATGGTAAATGTATTACCCACAAAAAAATGGATTCAAAGCTGAATAAAGCATGAACCAAATAACAAAAGCACCACATATGAGAATTATTCTGAATTTTAAACTGTAGTGAGTAGATGATAATTCAAAAACATTTTGATTTTAATTAAGCACTGAACAATCACACCACTGGAAAATGTATTTCAACATCAAGAATAAAAATACATTCACTCACTCCAGCTTCATGTTTGTATTATATGAACCTATATACTGTGTATTAACTACAAGTCACTAGGACTGATTGATTGGAAGAAGTGCATTCAAAACTATACTAAACATACATTTTCAGTGGGCTATAACTGCTTTTCTCTGGGATTTCCTACACAATATAGCGTTCAGAACCAGTAAATGTGTACAAAAGGATTTTTGAGTTGCTAAATATTATATTAAGATTTTGATAAACCCTTAAAGGACCAGTGGAATATAATGTCATCCAGCAGTGAAGTTTCAGGTTGCCACTAACTGAACACTGCTCACATCTGTATTTGACAAGGAAAATGTGAAATGTTGGAGAAACTACGGTGGCCTTGAAACTCGCAAAAACCGCAAAAAAGGCCCTAACTGGAGCCGGTGTTTAGTTTGTCTGTTCTAGGTTGCCGTAGGAAAAAGGGTGTTCCTTGAAAGGCGACCCGCGGCGTCTGTAGATAAAAACGGTTCATTCTCAGGTAGCAGAATCATAATGATATCAAATATTCAGGTGATTCTACACTAATGAAAACTATGAATAATATATGTTTATATGTTACACACTGGACTTTCAACACAGAGACATTTGCAAGTATTCCAAATGTTATGAAGTGAACTATGTTAATGTAGGTTTAAAGGTGGAAACTGAACTCTGGTCAAGAATAATGGCCTGAGTCCGTCAATTTTTTCCACATAAACCCTTCCAATCACAAACAGGCTCATTTTTGTTGATTGTTTTATTTCCTTCAAATCACCCTGTGTGCTGTGGGATACTTCTACAGTGGCTTGCTGCAGGCGTGACAGGTCATAAGTACAGTTTGCAAAGTTCATAGGGTTACGCCTCAATAATAAATAATATGAATGAACAGCTATTAAACTATGTGGGCGAATGGAAAGGTGAGTGTGATCCATATGGTCCACCCATATGGTCAGATTAATTTCCCTTATGCAGTGTAAGAAAATAATTTCAACAGGTTAACATCAGAGTGCATTGTGTGTGTCAGCATGTGTGTGTATGTTTAGTGGAGTCTAGTTAGTGAAGTTTAATGTGTGCTCACTGCTGGCTGCTGAAGCAGCAGGTTCTCTCGTCACATGCTGTGCCATATCTGATGAGTAACCCCAGTGGCGTCATAAGCTGGAAATATTGTCTCTCTTGCTGTCATCATAAAACAGTGTGAACATGTGACTATGTGTCATATTGTTTTTCTGGGTTAGGCAGTGTTACTGTCGGGTTGTTTGTGGGCAGTGTTGTAAAAGTGAAGTGAAGATAATATGACTGATGAAATCAGTTGTATTCTCACAGCCGTTTACTGTCTGCCCAGGATGAGAACATCTTGCCAGAGCAAAACCGACCTTTAAATGCAATATATCCACAGAACATGCCCAGCTTGTCAGCAACAGTACTCCAAATATGGCCCTGCGGTTCTTTGCTGTCTCTTAGTTGTTGGGCCACTTAATGATAATTGCAAAGCAGTGTGCTGAAGAGCCATACCCTGTCCAGAGGCTACCGGACTATCAGTAATGGGTTGGAAGGAGGCCAGATAGATTACCAAATATACCTCCTGGATGGAGGTGTGGCACAGGTTCAGCCTGGCATTCAGCTGTTTTGACAATGGGGGCTCAGCACACAATAGTTTCCTGATCAGTTTTGTACTGATATACCTTTATACTAATGTATACTTTACACCATGCATGCTTTTTATCTGGTTTTATTTACTTTATTTCTCTTGGCTACAGAAGCAGAAGCAGGTAGTTCTGCAAAACTGGTCAATAATTCTGAGAGGAAGAAGGTTTTTGACCCTTTTTTAGTTTTTCACAAACTATTTGACTGAATAAACTGAGTTTCCTTTTTCTGAAAGAAGGATTCATCATAATTTTGAAGGCTGCCTTTAAACTGCCAAATTAAATTGTGTTAAATCCCAGTGTGAAACTGCAGCAGGAACATTCATGTTTCCAAAGTTATCACCGAGGCTTTGCAATGTAAAAAGAAAAAAGTCAACATTACAGTACAGTCTTTTTTTGAAACAACCTGTCCTGTAAGAATCCTGTAAGGTGGTATTTATTCAGGCAGGGGAGATAATACTTTGTCAACTCTGCCCTCTTGTGGAAAACATTTATTCTGCAGCTAGAGAAAGTAATTTTCACAATGCTCACATGCATTCAGCACATTACTACAAATATTGTTATTACTCAGTAAAGCTGGAAGAGGCCTCAGCAACCAGTGTGTCAATGTCCCAGGTCAGAGTAGATGAGGAAGTCTTCAGATTAGAGACGATGAGTCATTTACGTTTCCCATCCTTGCAGCTATCTCGACCATAATGTTAAGTGGTTGATGGGAAACAGACCTGGAGAAAGAGGCAATGAGGAAAAGTGCCTCTTAACATCAAGGTCTCTATGAGAAAGTCAAACACCCTTTCTATTATAACATTGTCAGCCAGTCGGCCAGTAGCGAGTGTGTGATCAGGTCACGGGTGACAGAGCACACTGAAGTCTAATGGTGTAATGATGGGATGTCAAGGGGGAGGCTGAGAAGATGCTTGTGGGAATAAATGGACAGGAGATGGCTTGTTTACACAGAGAACATAAACTCATTATTGTTTTACAGCCGAAGGTAATAAAAACACCTGCTTAATAAGAAGCTGTTGACTAGATAGTATCAGTCTTCCTCAAGCTATAGCAAAATTGTTTTAATTTAGTAAAACATTTCCTCTGTGCATGTTTTGAGCATATTCTACTTTTTTATGACATTGCTGAAAACAAATTTCAAATAATCTTTAATTACTAGCAGGATGCAAAAGAAATCAAAGTTTGCTTGTTGATTGTGACTTGAAATGAATATAATGGAATAGGATGTGAATTATATGCTATGGTCTTCAAAGTCACAGGAGCTCAACCAACACTAATGGGAGATGAAATGTTGTGCAGCGCTCTCCACAAATATCATCAAAACATCAAATGAGGAAAAATCTTTTGGAAGAATGGTGTTCAGACCTCCTGTAGTGCAGGGACAGGAAGAATCTAGGTAAAGGAGCACTCAAGCTGTTCTGGCGGCTGACATTTTTTTTTCATTTCCTGTTTTTCAAAAATTTACTCTAGATTTAAAAAACGTAATGAATAAAATAAATAAATAATAAATGAAAGTGATCTAGATAACTAAAATCCATAGCTACAAGTAATCAGTATCCATGGAATTAGCCCCGGATGACATTATTTTGAACTCCAAGGATCAAATTCCTTCTTCAGATATATTTTTTATGACCATTTTTTTTAACGCTCACCTTGAAACTGAAATCCTCTCAGTCTGGCGACCATCCACGACCTGGAGTTATAAGCTTGGTGTGATGTCTGGTCTGGTGTGGGAATTGCGACACCTTCTTTGCATTAAGGCACAGGTGAGAACTGGCAGCTGCCAATATAAAAGACTCCCTCCATCAGACTGACAAAGCACTGACAGCAAGGTTGCCATTTGGAACCTTGGACCATACCAACAGCCAGAGATTTTTTCAAAACAAATTTTTGTTAACTTTTGCTGTAACTTCTTTAATTGTTTAATCGGGGTTTGAAAATCCATTGCATAATTTCTATTTTTTGTTCTGAGAAGCATCCCTTTCTGTGTCAAAGAATGGCATTCGTTGTCAGCCTTGTCTTTTTGTCAAGTTGGGCAGCTGTAGCTTTTACATTCCCTCATAATATTTTTGACAACATTGTGAAAGGGTCAAAAATCGAATTTGAATCATCTGGCGTCGGACCGGATGAACAGGTCCGGGGAATAGTTAAGGTTGTGCAGCTGGACCCTCGTGCCCTGGCCCAGTCAGGGTTCTTCAGAAGGGGACTGACCCCAAGAAGAGCCCCCTCCCTCAGCTCCAGATTGTCCTTCCCTGCTTTCTTGTCTCATGGGCGTCCAGGTCCAGCCTCTGCCCCCAAGACCCCAGTGAGTCCACTGCACCACCTGCACCCTAAAAGCCCCACTGAGATGGAACTAAAGAACAGGCAAGGCCTGCAGATGTGGCAGAAAGCAATACATAAAGGAGAGAAGATGACCATGTCTCTGCCAGTCAACCTGAAGGACACTAAGCAGACGTGCTCTGCGGTACCTTTCATTCAGGTAAGAGGCTAAGATTTTTCTATCATGTTTAATGCCAGGATTTCAATTCCATTCTCTGCCAAATAGATGTCTGTGCAATGCATGAGCAAGACCATTAAAAAGAGTGATTCTTTACACAGCAATGTTAGGAACTGTTTCATTGACAATAAGAGACATGTCTGTTCACTCATAAAGCTCATCATGGCTCTGTTGGAGGATTCGCTGTGATGGCATAGTATTACATAAACACAAAGTGTTGATTTTTACATCCTCACGTAAATTAAGACTGACAATATTGCTGTGATGTTTAGTCTAATCTTGCCCCTCTCTGTTCCCCTCCCAGCGTGTAACAGCCGATGGATGCGACACAGTAACAGTGCACAACAAGCTGTGTTTCGGCCAGTGCAGCTCCCTGTTTGTCCCATCCGAAGGGGAGTTTGCAGGTCTGGGTAGTACTGGGATGGGGGCCCTTAACCACCGGGCCCCCTGCTCCCGCTGCGCCCCATCCAAAGCTCACACTGTGGTCGTGCCCCTGCGCTGTGGAGCCGAGGTCAGGGAGAGACGAGTGATGGTGGTGGAGGAGTGCAAGTGTGAGACGAGTCGCGAGGAAAAGAGAGCTGAGGCTGGAGCTTCCACACACCTGTTGTAACAAAAATACATGATATATTTATTTCCTTCCGTGATTTGCTACAGTTTAAATAACAGAATAGAGAGACACCATTTGGACTGACTTCACTGTCAAGATATGGACGTGTGATAATTATTTAGACACTTGTAACCAGTATTACATATGAAGTTGTATGTGTATTTAAATTTGTATTTGAGGCTGAATTTGCGTTTATTCAGAGTAAAACTTTCTGGTGTTTTTCCACCATTGATTGATGACAAAATGAGCTATATATTAGTCATGCAATTTTCTGTTGCAACAGATGGAAATGTCCACATTGGACTTGTGTTAATGTGTTGAATGAATGAATCTAAACAGAAATATTGTAATCTGTAAAACCGTCATTAAAATGTCCTATTTGTCCACATTCCTTTTGCCTGGCTTGCTAATTAGTTTTCTACCAACACTGTTAGATTTACAAGTGCAATTTAGTTTGCATGCAAAGCTCAAGTAAAAACATGAAGAGCATTTGTTGTTTTTTTTCAACCCACTCTTGTATTCAAGCGCTCAAGTGTCAGCTTCTATATTTTATTAAAAAGCCATGTTCCACCGACTTTTAGCACATAGCACTTACATCTGAAAGCACCAAACTAGAGAGCAAACGAGCTATTGAGCACGGGTACTTAGCAGTAAGCAAACATAATTGTTTCAGCATGGACCCCTGAATTATGTATAGGAACCACCTATTCTCATGCCCAATCTCTTTTCAGTGTAGTTGTGGGAATTTGAACATCCTTCACCACAGATGCACTTGAGCGAGTGGGCATGTGTGATTATGTGTGTATGTGCTTTTTTTTCAGTTAGGGCCCATAAAACCTATTATTCATTTATACCCTGGCACCTGGGCCTGGTAAAGTGAACTCATCCCACACATCCCTACATACATTCCCAGAGGAGCATAAAGAAGGGGGCTCTTTACGTTGCCTTGGCATGCTGTCAAAATGACTGTTTAGATGGCTATTTGCATTCACGTGGGCTTTCTGAAAAAGTGAAAGCGTTCATTGCGCTACGGGGGTGCATTGAGTCCCTTGGATTCCATTAGCATGTGATTAACATCTTGGGTTGATGGCTATATTTTCCAAGATTGATGGGACAAATATTTGCCCGGTCTTAACTATGAGGAATTAGGGGCCACTTTTAATCAGGCACTTGTTTTTTCTAAATATGCAGAAGGTGGAGAGGTTGGGAGGCTTATACAGCCAGGCTGACTGCTTTTTAAATTCCTGTTCCTCATAGTGAAGAAAGTTGTTTGCAAAATACCAATATCTGAGTAATTCATAAGTAAAACTGTACTGTTTTTCATCATCCATCTCTGCCATTATACAATGGTGCATTTGCTATCTGTAATAATCTACCCACTGTGCTGTTGTGCGTGTGATGATGGCTGAGAAGGGAGTGTCATGTTCTCACTATCTCACTGTCTATTCTTTCCAAACTCTGTACCTCTCTTTTTCCAATCTTTTGTCTTTTTTTCTGAAAAAAAGGAGTTAAAAAAAGAAAATGGGCATAGTGGAGGGGGTTGGGAGGGGGGGTTGTTGATTGAACAAACAAGGTGCACAAGAGAGTGCACCACTTAGCAAGACAGATGTCAGCCCCCTTTGCATTGTGGGATCCGGCGGAGCACTCCTGCGTCATTAAGGATGGCCTGGTTCCCATGGCGAGGGTAAAGGAAAGAGCGAAAGGAGGAGGGCCCGCTGCCAAGTTCAGCGCCTCGGGGATCAGATCAGCGTCACGGGGTGCTAAGTGGCCTAGTTAGCGCTTTAAAACGCACAATGAGCTGCCTGCTCTTTCTCTGTGTGTGTAGGCCTTTTAACTGACATAGAAATGGTTGGGAGGTGTGCATGATGGAGGTGGGGGGAGTGGACTCAAATGATATCAGGTCAATCAAGGTGTATCAAGGGGAAACTGAAATGATGATGGATGTATGATGAAGATATTTGCATATTTCCTTAGAAGTTTTTCTTTGAAAAATGTTTTTTCTAGACTGGTAAATACGGTTAATTAACCGTGAGAAGTGCTTACTGTGGTTCTTTGTGGCTTAATTGGCTTGAAAACAAATATCCTAGGCTACATCATCTTGATGCTGTACACCTCTCATTCCTGACTTCCTGTGAGTCCCTCTGTATCTATAGCTACGGCTAAGTGGACCAAACAGTGCTAAGCTAACTTACTAGCTGAACAGTGCTGGAAGAGGAAGGGCCACCAGATTTTCCCCAGCCGCTTGGGGCTCTGCTGGAGCTAAACCGTCATGGTAGATTGGACCAGACTGGACTGCGGATCAGGCTCCTAGATCTGGCATTAGCATGTGAGAGCGAACAGGGGTCCATAATGCACTCCCTGGAAAGAAATTGGGATGGTGACAGGGTACGCCAGGAGAAATGTGACGACCTGTTAAGTCATAGACCAGACAGAGTCTTCTCACCTAAATCCCACTGATACAGGTTTACTGCTGTAGGTGTCAGGCTCTAGGTGTGAGGGTGTCTGGACCACAGCTAACATCTACCTCCCCACTGATACGGTGGTACATGCCCACTCTGTGGTGTTAGTCTGGACCAGCTGGTCAGAGTTGGCTCTGCAGGAGATGCTGCCCCGGGCTAAGCCTGCCAGTCTACTGCCATTCTGCTTGGCTGCCAGCTCGCCTGCCAGGCTGTCTGTTGGGTGCTGAGGAGGACAGAGAAAGGTGTAGCCTGCGGACAACATCAAAGTTTGTCATTGGAAATAATCCTACAGTGGTTTTAGTATCTGGTCCTATCACTACCACTACGACTAGTGTGTTTAGAATTAAATAGATCAATGTTAAGGCCTATGTGTGTGTGTGTGTGTGTGTGTGTGTGTGTGTGTGTGTGTGTATACCTTTTTGTCTTTGTGTGAGTTAGATGTTTGCTGACTGGACACTGGCAGTCACATCACAGCTATAATGAAGACAACAGATGTTCTCCTGTAGATCCATATGCGTACAGCGATCTTCCACTCTCCGTCTCCCCCGGGCTATCCACCTCCTACGCTGCTTAATGTGAGGTTACATCAGGTGAAGGTGGATTTTATCTTTCGTAACAGAGTGAAATAAATAACCAGACGTTGAACCTCTGGAGATTTGACATGGACTTTGATAACATGTGTTAAAGGTCTAGTGTGTTACATTTAGGAGGATCTATTGGCAGAAATGAAACATAATATTCATAAATATGTTGTTATTTGTGTATAATCACCTGAATAAAATAATCAGCCATTTTTATCACAGAGGTCGTGGGTCCTCCTCTGTGGCGTCCTCCATATTAAACCGCCATGTTTCCACAGTAGCCCAGAAGGGACAAAGCAAACAATAGCTGTGGATCCGAGTGTTCACATTTTTTGCCTTTTTCTCCTACACGCTTGGAAGGCAAGCTGTATTCACTTGGTTGCAACTTCATTTCCAGATGCCACTAAATCTTACGCACTGGTCCTTTAAAGGAAGCACTTTGTTAAAAAAGAAAGATAAATCAGAGCATGTTGTTGTGAATTTTATTGTACTTTTTTACAGTTGTTTGAAAAATGTTATGGAACTTTAGATTAATATATTGTGTTATTTCTCATGACTGACTTGAGCCTCATACTTTACTTTACATACTTCACATACTTTGCTGACTGTAATTATTCCATGCGTTTATACTGGTCATTAAAAGATTCCTTAATGCACTCAGTGTAAGTGATGGGAGACAAAATCCACAATCCACAGCTAATATGAGGCGTCAACAGAGTTATATGAATCCAGTTTTCTTTCAATGTATTTTTAAAGGGAATCTTATAATAAATAATAACTTTGGAAAAGATATCCAATTTTTTTTTAAATCTATGATACCTTTTACCATGTGTGTTTTCTAAAATACCGTATATAAATATTATCAGTTGTTTGATTAGGTTTTCTGGGTCCTTAGTTCTTATTTTCAAATAAATATTAATATCAGAGTTTGAATGCCTCTCTCTGTCTTGATAAAGGTTGGAGGACTGTGTAAACAATAGAGATAACAAGGAAAATAAGTCCAGGACTGTATTGGTCTATCCCTGATGAGTCTGATATGTTGTATTATTATAATTATATTAAAAAGATGTCAATAAACCAAACCAAAAAAGTACACTAAATGCACATACCATTATTTAACTGTGAACAGTATGTTTTCTTTGGGGGTTATATATTCAAATTTCCTGATGCTTCCAAAGGAATGGTCTGGCAGTTTAGGAGGCAGATATTTGACTTTCTGACCACTTGCCTTGATAACAAATGTATATATAACGATATTTGTATATTCATTTGTTCAGTTCAGTCGTGTGTCCGACTGTACTTGTACTGACTGTAGCCTCAGCATGGAAGCATCAGTGTGTGAGTGTTGAGCTGTCAGTAAACCCTCTGCTGGAGGGTGATGATGATAGCAATGTCGCTGTGGCAGGTGCGGTCCTGCATGCCATGCAGGTGATGTCTCTCATGCTCACTTAGCTAATGACTCCAATTAAAGTAATTAAGAGCTGGCACGGAGAAACCTGCTCACCCGCCTGCTGCCAACCCATCCATTCCTCTTCCTCTTCACCAGTACACATCGCCCACCTCGTACCACTACATGCCATCATCCATTGCTCTACTTCGCTCTCCTGCCTTCCCTTAATCTTCCTCTCATGGGCACCTCACCCTCCCCTTCATGCCACAACCACCCTGCACCTCTGCTCCTGCTGAGGCCTTTAAAAGAAACATGAAGCCTAAAATCTGCTAACTGCTCCACTCCAGAAGCACTTAAGAGACCCTCAGCTCAACTTATTGTCACAGAGACAGCTATGGAAGGGAAAGAGCGAAGGCCGGGTCCGGCAGGAGAAAGAGGGGAGTTAAATAGAGAGAGCGGATACGAGCCAGGTCCTAACGAGGGGAGAGATAATTGTTTTGTTTTGTTAGGGGCCCTTCTTCAGTGTGGAGGGAGTTGAAATGACACACCACACATGGTTTTTGGATGAAGTGGGCAAAACGGGGGAGGGATTGATGCAAAAGTGGGGAAAGTGTGTGTGTGTGTGTGTGTGTGTGTGTGTGTGTGTGTGTGTGTGTGTGTGTGTGTGTGTGTGTGTGCCGCGTGTGTGTATGTGGGGGGGGGGGACATATGTAACACAGAAAAAGGCTCCAAAAAGCTTCAGCCACAACAACGCAACACTGGAATTTGCTAAGTGGTTTGGTGGTTATGCACATTGTTGTCCTCCACTCACAGTACCTTGAGAAGATTTCAATGTCAAAATACACATTAATCACAGAGTAGTTCAATATCACAGTCCACAAATTCCAACAGTGGGAAAGACCACACCGGGCCAAGCTGGAGACACAACTTTGGCTACCAGGCCTGGTCAGATTTATCAAAATTTATGAAACGGCAAACATATGAATCTCTGGTGTCTTGGTGTTCTTTCAACACTTGGATTCCCAGACTGACAGTCAATGTTCCTGGATTTGTAGTTGGCATGGTAGTACAAACACTTTTCCAGAATCTCATCATATTTTCTGTGAGAAAAAGTCTTTGATGTGAACCCTGGGTTTACCTCCCTCTGTTTTCCCCATGTGTCCATTCACTCCATCCCATTTCCCTTTTATTTGTCTGCAATTCTGCATTTGTCTCGACCAGAAGCTTACGTTGAGAAATGCAGTTGTGGCTCGTTATAAAACATTACTAAATATGTGTGAAACTAAACCATAAAACCTTTTTGCAGGATAAACTGCATTAATTTTCTGTCCCTCACATAGTGACACTGTGAAAAGCGTCACTAGTGACATTCGAGACAGTTTTTCAGAAGCCTCGTGAAAACCACCATCATCAAAATTACAGCTGAGCACACTTTGGTAATCTGGCGACCAGCAGCATCAAGCAAATTATCCTGGTGGACTGTCTCTTTGAGCCAGGCCGGCAAATCACCTCCAGAAGCCTGTCACCACTTCCATGAAGATAAATGGTATCATTAAACAGTCTCCATCATGCATTAGCTGATCTGGAATCCACTTTCTGCTCAAAAGTGGAAATGGCTATGGATTACTCTCAGTCATCAGATAGCACTGACAGAATGTGCGGCAAACATTGCTAACTCATTTTGCCACAGCGCTCATCAGGATGCTGCAGTGGACATTTCACAACAAAACAGTTTTCTAATTTCCTCATCTTGAATTATGGTCATGAAATACTGATTTGTGCTCTGTCTGTTAATAGAATCAATACCAATAGAGACACAATTTATCCAACACATTCTGCCAGTGTCATAGATATCTGTCCACAAACAGTCATCCTCACAGTGGGCAGGAGAGGAAGAGTAGCATGCCAGTGTGTGTGAGAGAGAAAGAGGAAGAGTGATTGAGAGAGAGACAGACAGACACACACATCGGAGGTGGGGGTAGAAAAGGGAGGGAGGGGGAGCAGTGCACCAGTGTTCAAGAGAGATAGGCCAAGTGAGAAAGCGAGGGAGTGTGTGCATGTTTGAGTTTGTGTAGAGGGGTACAGAGGAGGGGTGCAGGTGGCATGGAGCTGGCGCAGGCCTGGCCCACTGTCCCCTGGCAGTGCCAGGCTCCATCTGTCATCAGCAGGAACATCTGCAGCCCAAGGTGCCCTTGTCACCCAGCGTTAGAGTAACGAGTTTGGCGTTTCCATTAGTCCAGGGCCCTCGCCCGCCCGGCCGGCTCTAGCCAAAACCATGGCATTTTGGGTGTGAGCTTGTGTGTGTTTGCTTGTGAGTGAGTGTGTGTCTAGATATGAGACAGGGAGAGGGAGAATGAGGGAGCGAGCTTGGGGTAACTGGATGTGTTTGTCAGTTTGTGCTCTTGTGTGTGTGTGTGTGTGTGTGTGTGTGTGTGTGTGTGTGTGTGTGTTTGCAGGAGAAGTGAGCGCCAAGCCAAAACAACATGGCAGTGCAGAGCGTTGACCCAGCTGGGCTGAGCCGGCATGTCGAGTCATGTCCCCTCCTGATGTGAGTGTGCCCAGTGCGCTCACACCGCTGCCAGACCCAATCTCTGGTCCCCTCTCCTCCTCTCTCACTCACTCTTTCTCCCTCTCTCATCTTCCTGTCTTCCATCTGTCCGCCTCCCTCTTATCTGCCCTCTCTCCCTTACCTCTCTGTGCCCCTTGTAGTTTCCTCCCCCTGTACGCGGAGTCCTCTCACACCCTGAGCCTATACTAACATTCTGCCTCTGAGCGCTACTCACATTTTTATCTTCCTTGTGTCTAAAAAACAGATGGTACTTCTTTCCCGGCTCCCTCTTTTCATCCTTCTCTCTGAGCCCCCCTCCCTTCCCTCTTGTCCTGTGTTTCTTTCCATCCAGCCGGCGTATCACTGATCCTAACTGGCAGTCCACCTGTTTATTCTGGCCCCCCCCCCTCACTAATTTATAAACCTGAATCATTTTCCCTCTCTCTCAAGGGCAATAACAAGGTTTTATTATTACTTATTGTAGTTATTACTTTTACATGACATTTTGTTAAGACTAAACATGGCTTACACAGTCATCAACTCCACTTTCAGCAAGATGGCTGCTGTTTGTGTTTGCACCACATGGTGGCTCTAACGAGCAGCAATCTGTCTTAACATTAATGAACCGAGCTTTGGCTGCAATTGTGTCAATTACCCACAGAATACTAATCAGACAAACATGAGAACATCAGAATGAGATAAGATTGATTATTCTTTTCATTTCCTGTATCACATGTAGGCGTGCATCATAAATCAGTTTTGACAGCATTTATGAAACTAATGTTTAGCCTAAAGGTCTGAGGGAAATTAGACACTACTTAATAAAAGCCTCACATTCAGGCCTCAAGCAAGTTGGACTTCACAAACACGTACACGCACTCAAATGCATAAACACTCTTTATATAATATTTTAAAATTCTCAGTTAAAGCTGCAGCTTTGATCTGTGACACAAGTCCATTCACTTCCTGTGAGAGAGCAGAGGGTTTTAAGTTATAGTTAAGACTTATTTTTCTCTTCTTTTTTTTTTCTTGGCCTGTCCTACAAAGGCTTCTCGTTTTGCTATCAAAACTTAAAAAGTGGTCTGGAGATTGAGAGTGAGTGAGGCAGAAAAGA